CAAACCAGGCACGAGTATCCTGTAAAAGACACTCCACGGTGCGGATCAGGTCCAGCAGCTTGTTGTCTACGCCAATGCGACTACTCTGTTGCCACATAGGCCCGGGCTCGCCGTAGAATCTGGAAGACTTGGGATAGTTATGAAACAGCTGACCAATTAAATCCGGCGGCAGCAGCTTGGCTTTTTGAAATGATATAGCGGCTCTTGGCACAGAATGTCTGTAGTAATGAGCCGCAGTCAGATCAAGAGTGGCGGCACAAGCCGAGTTGCTAGGAGTCCATTTGGATTAATAACTTACCTGATTAATAAGTGTTGCAGTGGTTTGAAGGAGCCTAACCCATGGACCCCTCCCCTGAGACGTATCATCTCTTTCAACCCTTGCATGTGAGCTTGCCTCTGATTGATATCGGGCTTGAAGAGGCTGGTGGCGGTGAATATGGGCAAGAACATGTTTTCTTCCACACAGAGAAGATTAAACACCGCGGCTATATTTTCATCAGATATAGCAAGAGTCGAATCAGCCAGGTTGTGCTGCACTGCAATAATGGCTCGTCCTTTGTGGTATAGTGTTAAGCCGGAGTAATGGTCTCTCCGTTGAGGTTGTACTGCAGCTAACTGGAGCGCTGTAAGCGATAAGATTGCATGCATAAAGGCCGGATGGCTGAACGATGGCTGCAACCAGTCCCGATGTATCTGAGAGACCCGTATCTTGCCCGTAATGGGAGTCATCTCGGAGGATATAGCATCCATGACTAGAAATTATAATTGAACAAATTAACATACTTAAACAAGAATCATGCTTCTCTCTGCTGCAACGGGACACAACTATAAGTGGCTGAAATACACTTACAGAAGGCCAAGAGGTCACCGACACTGGCATCTAATGGAACTGCAAGACTCTCAAATGGGTCTATCGGGCATTTCCTGATAGCAGACGTGGGCAGTTCAGAAAAATCCCGGTTACGAGAATTGGCGCAAATGCAGTGCTGCCTAGTATGAGACATGCCGCGATGTTTTTGACTCTGCCCAAATAAAGCAGAAGGCTCCATGTCCTCAGCAGGGCCTTCAACTACCATGCTGTCTCCGAGGGTTCCGTAATCATCGAGCATCCACTCATCACAGCAATTCGGATAGAAGGACTGCTCTGTAGGTATAGAACGGAGGTCACTCTCAAGATCAATTGTTCCATGAGCATCTTCACAGCCTCCTGTATGAGATTCTCTGCGTTTCGGCCATTCCTGATTGGCGCGAATATTGCGCATTAAAAACCCTCTTACTTGGCCTAGGTATTTCTGCTCTGCGGATGGATCATTGCTGGTGTTGATGAAAAGATATTCTTTCCCTGAATCCATAGTGACTTAACTCCGGTTGTAACTTCGCTTGATGCCCGAACCTATGCATTTATGGGGACAGGTGGCTGTCCTCGCCCGGTCGGATCGGTCTTTGCACCAACAATTGCCCGTCTTGTATGTTTACACTAGACACGAAATCCCATGTTAGAAGACCTATTTGAAGAAGTATTTGGTTACATACCCTGAGGAGAACTCACAGTTTCGTACAGGTATGGAGGCGAACACCGAGAAGCATACGGTGGTCTGTGGAAGAGAGGGGGCGACAGAGCAGATGGCAGATAGGGTATGGGCAACTAATATCCTGAACCACCATTGTCTCTATCAAGTACAGCATTCTCTATAAGGAGTATGGTGTTATTGAAGCAAACCCCACATCCAAGGGGACTTGGTTTGATCCGAGGTGTGACTGGAACATCCTCTCCATACTAATTTGGTATTAGAACCGCGTGAAACTTTTCGAAAAGCTAATGGCCTTTTGCAAAGACGATGGATATCTCTCTATCAATCAAGAGACATTACGATCAGCAGACATGGCCATCAAGAACATGACTTCTATCTATATCTCGATGCTCCTTCCTAATGACCAGAAGCATGCACACTGAGAATAGACTAGATGACTCTTGTCAAATTGCGTCAATAAAAATGAGAGATTTGAATATGTATTTAGAGACACTTTATGCGATCTGTACTGGTAACTATACGAACCGTTAGTTAAGCATCTTTCGGTTTGGAATGGAGCACCTGAATGCTTCGGAAAGAGAGAGAATAGAGGAGAAACAGAAGCTGATCTGTCAAGATTAGGAATCTGTTGAATCTGGACCTTCATACTGAGCAAGGTTTGATGACTCGCACGGAGCAGACTCCAATTGGAATGGGTTTTTGATTCAGATGCATATTAAGATCTTGGTTTTTTTTTTCGTCGAGTGGACCTGTTGTCGCAAGCCTTAAAGCCATACAGCGGCCTCCTTGGACAAACAAGTAGTACCAGGTCTAGCAAGGATCGGAGCGTAGCGCAGAATAAGCGGACTAGTGGTCTGCACGAGTGAGACTTGCATATGGCTGAGCTAGCCTGGAGCAATATAAGTCGACCGGGGCTGGGAATTATTACTCTGGAGAGGATTGTCGTATCTGACACCCGCGGTGGGAATTATTAGAAACTAATGAGGTTTCGAGAGGCTGTTGTACTCCGCATTATGAGAATACCACTTAGACAGTACTATATTCTACAACATTAATCTATTTTGCCAATGACGACATAGGCCCGGTTAAACCCAGCGCTCTCGCTATCATACATGCCCAATGACTCGTGCTCTATGTCTGTTATGGGGGAGGCATTCCCTCGTGCTGAGCAAGGCCCTCGACAGCAGAGATCCATTTCACCCGATCTTCAACAAACATCTCGAGGGCCGGTCGAAGATTGTCCAAAGCACTCCTATCGTCTAGAATCCCAGGCTGGATGATTCTCATCCCTTCCTTACCACCAAAACCATCTCCCCATCGATACATTGTGGTTCCTGGTATTGTTAGCGCTTGCCTATAGCTCTTCACACAATCAATGCAGGCATAGAGCATTGAATTGTTTGGTACTACGGCCATGACTTACCACAGTCACCGCAAAAGCAGTTCACGATCTTTTTCCCGCTATCTGCGATTTTCGATATTTCTTTCGGTTCACCAAAAACTTTGAATTGGGTACTCGGAACAACATAATTGTTACTGAACATGCTGCCGGTGTAATGGCGGCAATTCGAGCAGTGACATATTGCCTATTGATCTTGGTCAACTTTATCCCAATCCCACCTTCTCATGCAGAGGGTATCCTCCATTATTCTTACCGTGCGCTCAGGTTCACCAGTATACTCGATCCTGATGTTTCCACAATAACAGCTTCCCGTCGGCATGTTGGCGTACGTGAGTAAAGGTTTGTAGAAGTTGTAAAGATACGTGAATAAAATTGGCTCGATGATATCTAAGTCTGCTCAGCTTACAGATGGCAACGGAAGCATCGAGTTTATATCATACTCTTTGCGAGAGCCATCACTAACTATGTACAGCGTGATATCATATGTTCGAGTCACAGCTGATAAATCGTAGCCCGGTCATCTCCTGGCTTCTCACCTATTCAAGCTTGCGCTAGTCCACGGCCATGAACACACTAGTCCGCCATTTAGGCACTAGGTGTCGCCCAGCGGGTTGAGTTCAATGTTTACTGTACAGCATATCGAGTTCTACGGAGATCCATAGCGAGCAAGCCTTGGCAAAATGCTGGTAAGAGGCTAGAATGCTGTAAGCAATCGTAGTTACGTTATGTCCGTTGACTGCAATAACCATGCTCAGTATGATTAGCAATCACCTAATTGAGCATTATAGTAATGCTTTGACCCCAGCTCCCGATCTCTCCCAGACTACACTATAAATGTTCTGTGGACTGGGGGAGTTATGAGTCCAATGAGGCGATTTCTCAAGTTTTGGGAGCTACATCACATCCAACACTCTCTTCCAGATGAATTCTATTGATCAAGAGCCTGAGATGGCGATATTTGAGCTTCGGCAGCTACCGCTGGAAATCCGGAGACTGGTATACTACCAATACTTTTTTAATGGTAACGGTATGTGTCGAATATCAACTGCGTACCAAATTCCAACAAGGGTTGTGGCGGAAAACGATGCTCCTATGAACCAGAGTCAGGTGAAAGCATCGTCCCGTACAGCTATAGCGGCGAGTCTGAGATCTACTATCAACGCAATGCCGCTTCTTTTGTGTTCGTCTCAAATGTAAGCTTCCGGTTGAGATGATAGAAAAATGGATTGTAAAACAACACTAATAGCTCGTGGTTAATCTTCTCAGCTATAATGAAGCAATTGATGTCCTATATAGGGGTGCTTCGTTTTACTTTGACGATCTGAACGTTCTGCGAGAATTCCTAGACGTTAGGCGCGATGCCGGAAATGAAGACTTGGTTCGGTCTATTTATTTTAACTGGACAAGCTTTGTCTGGCTACACCATGGCCAGCAATCCGCAGTACGGCAATATCTGAATGAGCATTGGTACCCGTTATGCCGGCGACTGAACGAAATGAACAGCTTGAGGAGTTTTGTCGTGTCAATCAAACTTGCCACGAAGCAAACAATAAAGCGAAAGTTTGAAAGAAGTAATCTCTACCAACTAATGACGTGGCTGAGCAGCCTGAATCTGTCGCAAGAAATTTTAGAGGGTAACAAGTCATAGAAGAACAATAGTTCACTTTATGGCTGCTTATTTCGTTCATTCATGATAATAACTTTCTCCTATATTAGCACAGATAGAATTCCTTATTGGCAACCTGGCATTTTATAGAAACCTTAAGTAAAGAAGCTTGGAAACATGCTGAGCTCTCAATTATGACGAAGCTATGAGTGGTATCATACAGCTGGTATGAAGTCATTATTCGTCATGATAACCTCTTTTTTATCTTGTTAGAGAATTCCAGAGAATTGGTTACCGTACTGGAATATCATCTTGCTTTGTGTCCTTGTGTTTGAACTGTTGAGAATTAGAAGATCTCGTCCCAGTAACTATGTGACTATCCTCTTAAGAAACAATTGCAAACGTCCGTCCAACATCGGCTTACGCCGTCCCGCCTAGATTTCCAATCTAGAGTTAGTGCGCTTCCGTAGCTCAGTTGGTTAGAGCTTCGTACTAATACTTCAGCTTCACGCCCAGTGTTGGTAATGCGAAGGTCGCAGGTTCAAGCCCTGCCGGGAGCAAATCTCCAGTGCGCGCTTCTTTTTTTGGATTCGTTTTTGGAAGATCCAGATACATTGGTGGATGCATTCTTTTTGTCCCTTTAAGAAACAGGCCATCTCCCATTGTCGTCTGAATGTTTATTGTACTGAGGCATATCTCCGCGAAGCCGAAGGTGGGTTGACCTAGATGTGCCTACATATGCTCTTCACATCTGTGTAAGTGTATATTCCCTTTCTCCATGTTAAATCCTCGCCAAGTCAGGCCTGTCTGGCATTGACTGCCTCGTTTGCGATCTCATGCTGGGGTTTGGCGTTCTGTCAGCGTCAATTGTCGGTAATGCAGAGGTCTCAAGTTTAAGCCCTGGTAACAACCAAACAGCTGGCTTTTTGTTTCCGAATGCTTGAATTGCTTGGAGGATGGCGTTCTCTTCTTGTGTCTCGGAAGTGGTAACAAAAAAAAACTTGCTTGCTGTGGCACCAAATAGACCCATCCTGATCACTGTGGTAGCATCGTTCAATTGTCCAGTATAAACCATGTGCGCCTAAAATTTATCTGTATTTACTCAGGCTCGAAGAACGACCGCAGTTTAGAGAAAAGCCTGTTATCATCCAAGATTCATGCGCAACCCGATAATGACTAACAATGGAGTCTTCCCCCCCGCACTAAATGTGGTGTCTCGCAAGAGAGGGTTACACTGGGTTCCATATTCTTTGTTTCAACGTACACGAACTCGGGAATACCTAGACCATTCGGTCCCGAGTAAAGTTTCGGACATGATATCGTAGCATTGATGATGACTGGAAATGAAAGACTGCTTATAATGACATGAACTATATAAATCATGGAACTGAGCCGAAGACATTTCTCAACCTTTGAACAATGTGTATACTCGCATTTTCGCGAATTACACCCCAGATTTGCAGCGGTATCCAAAACAATGCAGGCTGTGAGTCTCACCCTCACCATTATTTCTTCTGTCAGTGCGGCAATGCCAGCAGAGCGGTAAGAACGTGGCTGCCCTGTCATATCTTAATTACACACGCTCATTTGTTTATTAGAAACAAGACGAATAGCTGTTGTGTGAACTACAACTCTACCGAGTCCAAGTATTAGATCGATTACTCTACGACACCATTTTCTTTGTCGCATATTCTCTTGTGTGGAACCAACATCCGGCGGCACTGGCTTCGCAATCGTGTACGTTTAGAGACATTAAAATTTGTGTAAAATTATTGATTACTCTACAACGAATAATCTATTCATACAAAGTCTTTATCATTATACAATCCTAATTACATCAATCATACGTCTATTGGCGGCGGCGTGCAAAGCTGTCTGGGTCAGACATTGCGGCGGCAGCACGCACGTTCAGCTTTCTCTTGCTATGATGACCAGGTGCGCCTGTGTGCTCTTTGCTGTGTCCAATGATGGCCCATTCTGCAACAGTGGCTCCAGTGCCGTTCTTTCCTACGACATCTGCATGATCAAGCCCTTGGTTGCCGACAATTAGCAGCGACGCATATCGAGAGGCAGCAACAGGCTGTGACAGAGTGACATTGGTTGTGTTGCCAATGGGAATGGCAATGACATTCAAGTCAGTAGTCTTGATATCGTATGGATTGGACTGCTTGATGTTGGTCAAAGAGGAGACAATCTTGTAGTTAGAATTGTGCTTCTGTGACTTCAACACTGTAGCTGGGTCGCTGATGGCCTCGTTGTGGAAGATGACGGTGGCGTTGACGGGAGGTGCCTGTGCCCAGTCGAAATGGAAGCCCGAGACCAGAGATCCCACGTCTTCTTGGTCAAGAGAGACAGTAATAGAACTCAACTTGTCAGCAGAGGCAGGCTGCCACTTGGTAGAGGTAGCACCATCAACGGCTGCGATGGGGAATTGACCAGGAACATAGTCGTTGGGTGAGCTTGCGGCATGGCATTGCACCAAGTTGCCAGCGTACGTTTGTTGAGAGCCAATCTGCTTGTTAGGAACGACGACGGAGCCCTTAGCAGGCAAATGATAGGCCGTTGGGCTCTCCTCAGGTCCAGAGTGAATGGTAATGGTCTTGCCAGCAAAGCGTTGGTCAGCTCCATCAAGCGCGGCAACACCACTAGCACGGCTGATGGTTGTGTGAGTATAGTTGGACCAAGCCGAGATAGGCCAGCCACGCCAGTAAAAGGTTCTGTATCTCAGATAAGGAATCTGAGGAGGCAGGTTCGGCTCAATGTGGATGAAGTCATCGGGCACCAGACGGAGACCGAGATAGCCGAAGAGAACAACCTGGTTGGCACCACCGTGGCCAGTGAGGAATGGGTAAGCAGGGTGAGTGCCGCCGTTAATGCTGGCATCATCAATGATCTGCTCTGAGAGCTGGTAGAAGGGCGCGCGAACGTAGGGCTTGAACGCATATTGAGCATAGGTGTAAGCCGAGCATCCGGAGGGCGAAATTTCGTTGGCCACGATGGAGAAGAAAGCGTAGGTCATGGCAGGTCCATCTGGAGACTGCTTGTTGGCGTACTGTATAAATGTTAGCATCACAATCGGTTATTACAAGGATTTGTCTAATCAGAGCAGCTCACATAGTCGAGATCATTGAGGGCATCCTCAGTCGTGTAGTTGGTCGTGTAGGACAAAGGGAATGTGACCATAATCACATCGGCTTGCTTGACCACTGCACTGCCGTTCATAGTGGTAAACTCCAGAGTCACTCCATTTTCACGAAGGACCAGAGCATTTGATGCCATATCATTCCAGGTCTTGTTCTGCTCAATGCCAAACTGCTTGCGGAATGTGTTTGCGTTCTGGAGAGTCTCTGCAATGAGAGGCATGGTGTATCCGCCGGCATCGACGTGGTTCGCGTATTCATCCTACTACATGTTAGCCAAAGAATGAGAATTAGGAAAGGACGGGGCAAGTTACAGGATCAGTCATGTTGGTCAATGTCCACACCGTCTTGTTGGGCTTGAGCAGGTTGCTATACAGCTCGGCAATGGAGTCATAAACGGGGAAGAGGTTTTCCTGGAAGTCCTTCGTATTGCCGTTCACAACCCACTGGTTGACAAGAGCCAATCCGATATCTCCATTCAGATGGTACTCGTAATCCCAGCAAGGGCCGGTAGCAGTGCAGTTGCCATAGCGGCCACTGGTCCACGGGAACACGGCGGCAGATGCAGAGAAGAAAGTCTCGTTCTGGGAGCCTGCGTAAGAAGTCTTGACGTTTTCCTTGGCCTGGCCGTATCTTGCCAGGCGGTAGTTTACGATCCTCTCAGCAGCTTCCGGGTGCGCCGCAAGCAAACCAGGCTGCATCCAGAGGTCAGCATCCCAGAAGACTTGTCCGGCATAAGAGTCAGAAGTCAGTCCGCCGACAGAAATGCTGTCAACGTTAACTGGGGCTCCGTTGGCTGCTTTGCTACCATTCTTGCCCACTGTGTTTTGAAGCAGGTAGTAGGTGTTTACGACTGCAATAATGGCCGAATCAATGATGTAGTTGTCGTTAGGAAGCTTGCCAGTCTTGGGATCTGCGAAGCTGTCGACGGAGCTCTCAGGCATGACATTCGCCCATTCTGTGACATGGGAGTTCAGAGACTTGGAGTATCCGTTTTTCAGCGCCGTTGCTGCTGCCGACTTGGCGATTTGCTTGGGATTCTTGAAAGCATCAGAGGATGCACCTCCAACAAATTTGGTCACTCGCACGGCACGTCCTGCTGAAAACTTAACGGGTACAGCTTGTGCAATGGAAGATGCGTTGGTGTGCACGTATGGCTTGTTATGGACAATCTTGCGGCTCGACAAGTCTACACCTCCAGAGCCGGTGATATCGGCGTACACGTAGGCGGTGACATTGGCGACACCATTTGGTCGCACGGCTGAGAAGATGGCGTTTCCATCCTCGCCTGATTCGACGAAATCGGTGCGTACTGCTGCGAAGCCGTCGAGAACGTTGACAATTGATGCTTCCACATTCTTGGATGCGGTGACTTGCAAGTCAACCACAGCCTGGTTAACATATAGCTTGTTGGCGAAGATGCGGTATGAGATGTCGAAACTCCCCTTGTTGCCCTTGGGAGTCCACTTGTATGACCAGCTCAGGACTCCTGCCTTGTAGTCATAGGTTGATCTGAAGTTGGAGATGGTTCGGTTATCAACTGTTGCATCAAGGTAGGTGTTACCACCGAGATCCAAGATGAGGCCACTCCAGTGTGGAATACCACTGATGGCAGTGTCAGAGCCGTACTGTGAGATCCAAGGGAAATTGGTTCCGTTCATAACGGGCTGAGAGTCCCAGAAACCGGCGATAGTTGCAAACGACTGTCGCCTGGAGAACAAAGGCCAACCACTGATGACGTCGCCATTTTCTTCAGTGTCAAGCTCGAAGAAAGGTCCGACACTGGCAACGTTGATGCCAAGATAGCCATTGGCAATGGAGCCTCGAGACTCAAACGCACCCTGGTTCAATTGCGTGGTGCTGAGGAGCCAGTTGTCTTCGTCCCACGTTACGCCAGCAAAGTCGGTCTTGTAGACGTTCTTGCTAAACTTCACTCCTGTGCTTGAATCGCCGTTTCTGCTCAGGCATTCTGAGACGCGATCATTTGATGTCGCGCCATAGGCAGGGTGGACAAGCTGAAGCAGTGGCAACAGCGCCGTCCCTGAAAGAATCTGAAAGGGGAGACAATTAGCATTATTCTGTTTGGCTGAGAGTGTAAGGGCAGGAGGGGTACACACCGTTGACCGCATTTTGCAGCTCGTCAACAGGCTTCACGAGCAAACACAATGCCAGTGAAACAACCCGAGGTAATACACGTCGCTCTTAGATGTCCACTACAGAGTGTTGCAAATGCATGCAGACACGAGCTGAGGTTTCATCGAAGCGCTGGATATGCGGCATCCTGCCCGGTATTTAAGCCTAACTTGCTCCCAGTTCCAACGTCGGTAATTCTCCGCGCAGATCACCGCTTCTGGCTGGTTGTTGGCAACGGGGTGTGGAGAGGGGGAAGACATGATCTGGGCAAGGCTGGGGTTGTAATA